CGGTCCTCTTTCCATGGCCTATGTCCACAAGTTTATGAACCTGAACCAGACGCACATCGGATACTTCATTGAACAGCTCACTTTTGCGAGCAAGTACTTTGGCTTCTCAGATGAGGATGCGCAGACGCTTGACACGTTTATGAATGCGCGATACGCCGTGCGGTGCGCGCCCCCCATCAACGGCCAGCTCTACTCAATCTGCTTCGCAGATGAATGCCCCCTTGCGCAGCCCAAGCCCGACTGCGACGCATACAAGGACGTTGGGCCAGGTGGAGCGAGCAACGTTACGGTGGTGACTACTACGGTACACCAAGCATCGCCAACGAGCTCGACGGCGTCAACGACTTCTGAGCCTCCGAGCTCTACGACTACGGCAGCTGGGGATGCAAACCCCAGCCCGGATTCCAAGTCCAGCTCGGCTACCCTTTCTGGCGGAGCAATAGCAGGAATCGCCATCGGCGGCGCGGCAGTTTTGCTTCTTGCCGTCGGATTGCTACTGTACTTTCGCCGTCAATCGGCAAAGCCGCACATCGTGCCCGTCCCTGTACACTCAAGTGGATATGGCTCTCCTGCTCACCCCCCTGGTGCGTATTACGCCTCTAACGCGCACATGAGCATGGCTTCCTCGTCAAACCCACAAGAGGCGTATATGGGAGGACATAGCGATATGTCTGGGTTCTGGGTACCGCCAAAACCACCGCAGGAGATGGGGCTACCTCGTCATGATGTGCCTGTGGTACCAAGGCCAGCGACAATGTCGCCACAGCTAGCCGAGATGGAGAGCCCGTGACAGTGATGGTATTTAAGAGATTGTCTGTTGAGCTTTGTGTTTTGCGTCGTGCGGATAACTATGTCGTGTATCACTATCAATAATTTCGAGTATAATAGGCCAAGCAGGCTGGGAGAAACTGACCAGAGATGGAAAATAAAAGATTCAAGTCCGAGCAAATACCCCACGCCTACCTTATGTCACATGAAGTATTTTTTTTTGTATGATGTATGAGGTGCTGTCACTCACCTGTTAAACTTGACTCTTCCCATCACATGTCTTATGAGTCTTTCCCCTTACTTCCATGCATCTCGGGACTTGTCCGAGTCCATTTGGCAGAACCTCCATCTCGACATAACGCATAACGCATAACGCATCACTTATAGCGTATAACGTAGATTTGAGGCAAAAGCTGTCATTCTAAAAAAAGAACCGAGCAGCTATTGGATCAAAGAGGCATTTGTACTCACAGTTTCGCTCATTGGGATCCACGAGCTTTTTGGGCCCCTCTTTCTGAGCCAAGAGGATGCCACTCCCAAGCTATCACCTCACCAGGGTAACCAATGCGACGGAGTGTCGGCCGACGAGGAGGTTTCTGTTGATGCTAATTAAAGAAAATAAAAGAGAATGAAATAAGAAGAAAAAGACGCAAAGCGGCCGAGATGTGCGGCCGATGGGCAAAACCAGGCAAGAAGTAGTTGAAAGAGGGACCAGAGCTCTCAGCTGAATACCAGGGTACATGAGATGCATTGCTCCCCGGTAGAAATGGGGCATAGCGTGAGGAGGTAATTCAGAAAAATAGCAATGCCATTGACTCGACAGCGTGTGCCGAGCATCTACGACCTCATTGATTTTTTTAACACTGAATCGTGTAGGTTTCCGTCCCGGGTGGGGGCTCTCGAGGACGACAGAGCTATTATGTAGATCAAATAGAGGAATCCCTGCAACACCTAAGAATAGAAAACTCTTGAGATTAGAATCTCCTTCGCCCTGAATACTCGTCGCGGGTTAGTGTAGATCACCATGCTCTTTTCGACGACTACTACGTGCCCTATTTTTGTATACCTACCTGACCCGTGGTGTCCTTGGCAGCCCTACGGAGCATGCAGAATGGCATCCGCGTTTTAGCTCAAAGGATGGGAACGAACGCATGGCAAGCAGTGATGGTGAAGACTGCACGCGACGTATCGCAGCATGCGTTTATAACATGCATTATGAGTAATGCAGTGTGTTGGACGGCGTGAGCGCTGGCTCAATACCACCCTTGGAACTCTCATTGTCTATCCTCCCTCGGCTCCTCGAATAGATCTTTCTTTCTAGACAAGGGTCGGGGCCACGATGCGGCATGAGAGATGTCGGGAGGGCGTCGTTGACGATACCATGCTCGCTAACCCATCTCATCAACGCCAGGGTGGGAAGAGCGAGGAGCTAGTGGTCAATGCTCGGTAGGAGCCTCAAGTGTAGCCATACCCTGGCATTCCCATCCGTGATGTCTCCGATAGTCTTCGTTATGGCGAGAAGAAGCACCAGTGTGTTAGACTCTAAGGGAGGCAGGTATTATGGTTGCCTCGTATCAACACTCTTAGACAGCAAGTACATCCGTCTTTTCTGCGAGTGCCGGCAGAGATGCGATTGGGGTGCCAGTCGGGGTGATTTGGAACCACACAAAGTGTAATTCTGTAGCAACACACGATCTTATTAGCCCGACTGCGTGCGGTGTCGCCGCCACATCTCATGAGAGCCTATCCAAGCCGTGAGAAACCATTGAGACGTCCTAATACGACGAGCAAGGCGAGGCTTCTGGCACCGTGGTGCCTGGTGACGGTGGGGTGAGGCGCGTAGCTTTTGCACGTACCACCCCATCGCGTGCATGGCTTGAGATGAAGCAACCCTCCCCAACTCAGAGCTGAGAAAGTGATCTGACCAATGCGAATAGAGACTCGTTCGTATTGGTGGAATTGGAGGTAACGAAACATGCTCGTGAGCTGGTGTCTGCGCTGTCGACCATAAGGCGTCGAGCAGATGCCGAGCCCGTAAGGATTTCCAAGCATGCTTATTGATGCAAAGACGAGAGAATGAGAAATGATAGCGATACAATATCGTTTAGGTTGTGTATTACGAAGCACACTCTTGCGCGTGCCCATTTGTCATCGTCTGGAGCCATGGCATTGCGTGAGCGCGTGCGCGAGCAAGCCTCAGCAGGCGTGGCTGGTGACGATTCATGATTCGGATCAGTCACCCGAATGCGTCAACCAGCGGAGATGCGAAAACAGGACGAGGGTTGCGCTGACGCAAAGTCGGAAGGGGATGTGACGCCTGGCACCCCGTCGTATATCTCGCTTTATTAGTCGGGGATCCTTGATTGGGCTGAAGAGCTGGAGTGCAATGGGCGGGGACCTTTTGTAACGCTGTTTATCATTGGTGCCAGCCCTGTGCGCGGCCCCCAAAAATTAACGTTGGCCGGCAAAAGAGTCATCCCAGCAGCACAGAGACAGGGCTAGCTAGGCGTTGGTCTAACAACTGGAGGGAGATAGTAGTAGTCGCAAGTCGAAACAGTACAGTTGTGGATTCTGGCTGTGTTGTGTTTCTTGTCGACTGCAGAGACTCAGCTCAACGGAGAGGCAGGATGCGATGCTGACAATGAATGGTGGTGAAGTGAAGTTGAGAGGAAGAAGAATTGAGGGAAGCTTTGCGAGAAGTCTGTGTACACGCATGCACACCGGTACCTTGGTACCTCTCAAAACGTGACATGCGGCATGGCAGTTGCTGGGAAGGGGCAACTGACGTTAGTACTATAGGTAGTACCTATTACCCGACTATACTAAACTGCCCTGCTCGATATCGAAGCGACTCCAGAGAACTTCCATCACATTAACATCAAGTCACCTACTAACCTATAAATAGCGTCCAGGGCTTCGAATGGGCAGAGCTACAGCGGCCCTAGCACACAATTGGCCATAATTCACGCCTCACAATCGCCAAGATTGCTCTAATTCTTGGGCAGTCAAGTCTCGTCAAGTCTGGAACTCGTATCCTCAAGCACATGCAGGTGGCGTCCGTGTCTAAACCACAGCGGCGGCATGCAAGAGAAGAGAGAGTGAACATGTGCACAGAACAAGGCACAGCGAGCCAGTATCCAGGGGTGTAGCCACTGTGTTTTGTCCTAATCGAATCCCCCCTTCTTTTATTTCCTTCCTTCTTTTTGACATGGGACTCCTTCGCGTCCTGCATCAACCCAAAGCTGCGGCTGAATGTACCGTTACTGTTGCTGTTGCTGTAGGTACTAGGTAGTCTTCTGCTCTCCGTAGTCGGTACGTGGGACGTCTTTTTAACATTGACCAGCAGGGGATTGGACCCCACAAGACAGGCCTGCAATATTGCGATTGGCTCATATCGAGTGCCAATCTTTATCTCTAACCTTGTTTAGCTCGAATCATGCCGTATTTCGGTCTAGTGTCGCTTCGTTTGATGCCTCGATGTTGCTTGCACTAATTGCAGCCCTGGGAAATACCTCTAGCCAGTCCCTCACTTTCTGTTCTGGCATTTACTCATATCCATCCATATGGCTCTTCTGCAAACAAACAACCCGACGCCTGCTTCGGAGTCATTATCACACCCGTTGGGGCTGCGAGCTAGAATTACTGTTGACTACGAGATGCCTTGGGGCAGCAGTAGCACCAGGCAGCAAGTGGTCAATACATGCATGTACTCGTACTCGTGCAGTACTAAGAATGGCAACGAGGAGACGAGCAGTGAAATGATGCTTCACACCGGCATCCCCCCTGCTGGCGATCCCCTGCCCAGGAGAAGCAACCTCCCCGTCGCATCACCCTCATTGCCGGGATCCAGATGCTGCAACATGGAACACAGAAAATATACCGAGGGACTCGTACGAGAACCAGAACCAGCACCATCACCAGCACTAGCAACTAGCAACGCCTAGTATTAGCCCTGTTTCTAGCAGTCTTCTTGGGCTCAACTCACGGGCCTTTCCCGCCCCCGGGTGACCTCGCCTGTGATCCTTCGGTGCCTCGGCCGTGTGAATTCTGGATTCCAAAACAGCATCAACAGACTACCTAGTAGTACTGCTACGTCACCGTTGTTACCTGTACGCCCTCTCCAAGGTTCTCGCATCCTCCGTATCGGTCCATCAATCCATCCATCCATCCATCCATCCATCCATCTCTTCTCCCTCTCTCCAGCATCGGCTCCGTTCTCCGTCCACACAACGATGCCGCGCACGCTGATTCCGTCCCGCTACCAGCCCGGACCCTTGGAATCCTCGCAGTGGAGCCTGAAAAGGGCGTACCGCAGATCCCTTGGCGTGAATGCTCTAAACTGGTCCCTGTCCGTACAGGTAAGCAGGCGGATGCCCGTTTAGCTCCTGAATCACGGCTGTCGCTACTCGATGACCGACGGGTGCTGGGGTTAGAGCCGGAGGGAGCTCTGGCACTTGGGTCGTTCTGGTTCTTGGGGCTCTGCCTTGGTCGGTTTCACGGCTCATGTTTTGCTTTGCTTTTGCCTCGCTGTGTGACTTATAAGCCTTGGCTGATTCCCACTATCCACTGCGTCTCTTCTGGAATCGATTTTAAACCAAAGACTGTCTCCTTACGCCGTGTATAATTTCTCCTCTGGCTACTCGAGCAATGAGATATTCTGCTCGCTTTCATCATATAATTTTCCAAATAGCACGTGCTTTATTTCGAACACATTGAGCCTGAGTTGAACGCGCCTGTCAATTGACACAACTCCCACAAGATTCCACGTTGAATCATACTGCGCCCACCAAAAAAACTTACACACTCTCTATAACTTGACTTAAAGATTCAAGCGGTCGATTAAAACATTTGGGTTTGGCCTCAGGGCAGACTCTTGTCCTGTTATTATGCCTGCAACACAGCGATCCAGAAGTCTCTCCCAAAGCCCTGAGCCTTCATCAAATAAGAGCAGCAGTTGCTCTACGCCGCCAAAAAGGGGTAAAGCAGGCAACAAGGACGCCGAATGGTCCGAGGTCACAGACCCCGAAGAGAGGAGGCGGATACAGAATCGCATTGCACAACGCAAGTTCCGTACGTCGCTCCAACCGCATCCTAGCTGTTCCAAGCGCCAGCTTGCTAACTACTTCGTACAAAGGTGGCAAAGTTAAAGAGCAAAAAGAGAGAGCAGAGCGTGAAGCAAAAGACAAAGAACATGCCGGCAACAGCTATCGCATTCCCGAGCCAGACGATGTGGACAGAGAGCCAGAGCCATCAGGCCTTCCGTGGGGCAGTGTGAGCCTGAGCCATATCGTATCTCGGGGACATGAGGCCGAAAGCCGCAAGAGTAGCGGGCAGGGAACATACCTAGAAGACAGCTTTGTCGCTAGGAATTACTCCTCGTCTTTCAGCTCTGAGGTGCGCCAGACTGCCAGTTATAGCAGCGGCGGAGCCAACGACGGCTACCCGGACGAGAATACCTACGTCTATGATGGGCCTACTTTTGGTCAATCCTATCCCATGCTTTCCTGAACACACATGAACATACCTATTCTTATATATAATTTCCTTCTTCCTCTTCTTCCCGCTCTTTCTACTCTTTTACCTTCTTCTCTCTCTTCTTCTTTTTTTGTCCAAGCCTCATTTCCTACAGTTGTCGGATTTTTCGTCGATATACAATGTCTTCATGTTTATACCATCTGAGTTATCTAAAGGCGCGGGCGCATATACGGGAAAGCATAAAGACGTTGATGAACACTACACCTCTTCTCATTGATAACGAACAAGATATACAACAGCAGTCATGGAGTTGTCTGATACATGTATATAGCTTTAAATAAATAAACTGGGACTATTGCTGTGCTGGCATCCAAAGTTGATATGAGTGATCCTTTGCCCCAAGTTTAACTACCGTGCATGTAGGCTAAGGGTAACCGGCAGCCCCCTTACATTATGTCTAATGTTAATAATAATCGGTTACACAAATGTGTGTTGGTTGCGGTTTGCGACGGCAGATGATGAACAGGGGCCTTTATTTTGTGGCTCTTGATCTAGAGTGGACAGGCCGATCATCTCGGGGGGTTCAAGCCTCGCGCCGGGCGGGCTGCATGAAGGATCCGGCACACAACTTGCTGCATAATTAGGTTACATGCCATGCTGCGCACAAGCAACTTGAGAATCCACTTTAGCATTTTGTAGCTGTTTCCTGGCAAAGTGTTCGAATTTTGTGACAGAGATTTCCGTTTGTACGTGGGAGCGTCGGTGGGGTGAGTAAGGCGGAAGATCCTCAGCCAAGCTTCTTAGGATAGAATCCATGGCTAACTAAAGAGAAGCAACGGATGTCCTTCTTTTCAACTTTGTAAATTCCGGTTATATTAGAGCTGGATATGCCATGTTTAGAACCAGGAGATGCAGATTACAAAAGTAGACTTCAAGTCACCCTTTGTTTACATTAGTAATGGATCGAGATTCAACACTTTGCCTCGGCATTATCATGCATAACACTCCAAGTTCGACTGTCGACGAGTTGCCTCGAACACGTTAATTAGTATTATCATACGACAACACCTTATAATAGCCTACTACCTACTAATCTATTAACTCTGCTTACTATGAATTTATCTCACTTCCGCCTTCGTTGTCATGACGCATCAATTCTCAAAGCTCCCACTCATGAATCAGCCTCAAATTTCCTCTCCGGGGTATTTCGTATCGTTCCTGATCTCGCGCTACTCGGGCAGGTGCCACAGTCCTTCTCACCCCACCTTCCTTCGCTCGGCAAACGCTCCCGTTTGCGCTGCGTACCTGCCTACGCTCAGTGTGGGGTGCTACTCACCGCCCGGCAGAAAGCCCATATTTTTTTTTTAATTTTGGTGCAGCAGCTCTTTCTAGCTGCAGATCGCCGCAGCTGCCACCAAGATTTCTCAAACTTCAACTTGGTCTACGCGCATTCTCAACTACGCACGACTGAGTCTCCGAATAAACAGGAATACGTTTACCGCGATTTACTCAACCTATTCTGTCTTGTCCACTTTCCTCATCTGCAAGTCATCATGGGCGCTTCTGCCACCGACAAGAAGGCGGATTCCGAGCGAGGTAGGTTTTTCGTCGCTCTCTCTCTCCCTCTCTCTCTTTTTTGAGGGCAGCCACATATTGGGACTTCAATGTGTCCGCATTGCCTATAACCTTTACAAGTCTTTTGAAGCTCATTATAACTTTTCGCAGCTGCTCGCAAGGCCCTGAAGAAGGCCCGCAAGGCCGAGCGCAAGGCCGTTAGCAAGGCCAATGGAAAGTTAGCCAAAGAAGCTTCTGATGATGCCAAGAACCCCATCTCAGGCAAGAAGAAGAAGCAGAAAAATGACAAGGAGCTGGAGACGCAGCTCTTGGAAATTGAGAAGAAGCGTCTTCAGAACTTGGCAGAGTCCAACAAGCTTGAAGCCGAGGCCAAGCAGTTGTTGAAGCAGGCTGAGGATGCCGACAAGCTGAGCAAGCGCGTGGCCAAGGCTCTCAAGGTACGAAGCTCCCCATGCTAGTGCACACATGGCTTTGCATCTGTTATTGACTTTGCATGCAGAAAATTACCGAGGATGGCGACAGCCAGCTACCTTCCAACCTCAAGCATGACGACGATGCCGACTCCTCGGACGGCAAGGACGTTGGCGCCTTCGTGAAAGACGCTGTTAATTCTACCACGGTCATCCAAAAGCCAAAGGACAACAGTGCTCACGAGGCTATTGAGAAGGAGAACAACGGCGAAAAGAAGAAGAAAGATAAGAAGAAGTCTAAATCCAAGTCTGAGGAGGCCAAGGCCATCGCAGAGCATGCGCCCACCGCGAAGGCGAAGGCTGATGGCAAAAGAAAGCGAGAGGAAGACAGTGCTGAGCAGCCAGTCAAGAAGAAAGAAAAGAAGACAAAGGGAGGAGAGAAGGTTGCGAAAGTGACGACCGAGCCAGACAAGATTCAAGGCCTCGAGGGAGGAGCAGCTCGACAGGATAAGTTCCTTAGACTCCTCGGAGGTAAGAAGGCCGGCGTCAATGCCACCAAACCAGGCAGCATGGCCTCCAGCCAGGGCAATTCGGTCCGCGCCGAGGCAGCCATCCAGCAGCAGTTCGAGGCTGGCATGATGCTCAAGGAGAGTGGCCACAAGCGCCGCGGTTTGGGTGCGTAGGGCTGCCACATCCTCTGAGCGATGATGTTTTGGCAGGCCCATCAGTTGTACTACTATACTGCATACAGCATTGTCGTTTCGCATTGCATGTCATGTTTGCATCTGTTCATCACGTTGACTTTGACGGATGAAGATTATAAGGCGTTAGATAGGACTCACAGGAGATACCACATGGAATGATTTGTTTCTTGTTCTCTGTTTTCTCCTCTCATCAATTCCCCAAGTACTAGATTTACAATGCCCGTGCGCCGTAAACCACCATGATGCCAACTCTAGGATCATGTCGCAAATAAGGCAAAATACGCAAATGAAATGACAATGTAACAATAGTGGCGGCAGCAGGAAGACACTTGACGGCACTGACAGGCCATCAACTTTGCTATCACTCTCGCCTCCCACGCCCACGTTCGCTCTCCTTTCTTCTATAATGTCACGGCCTCTGCCATTTTCTGGCAGGCCTTGGATCCTTTTCCTCCAGCTTATTTTTTTTTTTTTTTTGTTCTTTTCGCTTTATTTCGATTCGAATTTGTCAGGTAGGTAGCGAATTTAAACTAGAGGCCAAAGAAGCGCGAGAGGAGCTCAAAGACGAGTCCGCCGAAGACGACGAATCCAAGCAGGGCTGCGCCAGGCAAGTTAGCGCAAGTTTAAGATGAGCGATTCGAATTGGACGTACCGAGCCAAAAGATGGAGATGGGCGACTTGGGAGTCTCTTTGGTGCGCTTCTTGAGCTGGTCCTCGGACTTGCCCATCTTGTTCTCCTGGTCTTTGGCGAACTTGGCGTTGCGCCGGCGCTGCTCGAGGGTTTGGGCCTGTAGGATTGGGGCTGTTAGACATGTTTCGTACTTTTATAGATGGTGAATTGGAATGATTGATGCTTACCATTGTGATTTATGTGCTTGTTGAGGGAAATTGGCAAAACGTTAAAGTGTAAGACGTCGCTGGAGATGTTGCGCCCAGCCTGGGTGATGCGACTTCTTATACCAGAAAGCTTTAATTAGAGGGTCGGCGAATTAGTTCGGATGTCGTGTCAAATCTGAAGGAGTTTCGATAGTTTAGGACAGATTTTGTTTTCTTTGCAAGGAAAACCGCGAAAAACAAGTCAATCAATGAAGGAGCGGAAGGGGCGATTAGAGAGAATCGAAAGGAATGGAATAGGAAGAAGTAAATGGCCAGCAAGATTGGATTTCAGGGATCTGGACAAGGACATGTGTCGTCAAGGGAAAATAGCCGGTCGGCGCTATCTAATCAATGGGGAGGTTCCGGATACGAGCTCGCGCCGGTTACGGGGAGTCGCGGGCGAGGTAGTCGGTACCTCGTGTAGCCTGCGGGTGCCTGGGGGAGCTGCCTGTACGAGTATGAGCACAGGTGCTCTAGCGCATGGCCTAGAAACGGTCCAGCCCCAAGCTCAATGCTGTCCTTTGCGGGGTGCGACATGCTGGACAATGGGCCGAACGGAGCGATGCGACAGCGCATGATCCCACTGGAGGCCCGTTTTAGCGGGCAGCAGCGCTACTAAGACAGAGGGTGTACGAGGTTAGTACTGGACAGGTACTGTCCGCCTGCACCGCCACAGGGCGCACGATCCATGTACCTCGCTCCGTACCTGGCATCAATCAATGGTTCGGATCTGCCACCCAGAACTTAGCGCCCTCTTTAGCAGGCCCGTGATGCTAAAAAGTTGCGCTACGATTTTCGGCCCTATGAATGACGGAGCCCGAGAGAAACTGGAGCTTTTTTCGTTGTCAACCGGTGCGGGCATGCGCTTCCAGCGTCCAATGAACCGGCAAAAGCACGCATTGGACAAGTGCATCCCCTTGAGAACGACTTGTCGCGATTCCGGCCGAAAACGATGAATCCGGCTCTGAGGCTGGTCTTGCGCCAGAGATCGGCTGCTGCTGCTGCTGCTGCTGTTCCGCGCATCGCAGCTGTGCGACAGGCGAGAAGCTATGCGACGAAACAGCCAAGTCCAGTGGTCAGCAGCCCTTTTTCTTACCTTTCTCGTCCTCAATTATCCTTCATTCATTGTCTTTTTTTTTTTTTTTTTTTGGTACTGACTGCGGTGTGTGTGTGTGTGTTGCGCAACAATAGGCACAGTTCTACAAGACGTTTACCCGCCCGATAGGCAAAGTCCTCGTCCTCGCCGTCTTCACATACCAGGTCGCATACTGGACCTGGACGAAACTCGAGGCCGATGAGCACATCGCGGAAGCTGACGGTGAGCGAGAATGAGTCCTAACGTCACCGGATTTCTCTTATGGAGAGCCGAAGCTGACGGGAAATGTGTGTGTTGGAATAGCGACGATTGCAGCGCTGGAAAGCACTGTGAATGAATACAAAAAGACAAAAGACGGGAAGAAGGATGCTTCATGAGGGAAAGACATCGAATGAGAATTAAAGATTGGAAGGGCATTGAAACTTCATTGGGAGTGGTGATACGATATGAAGAAGAACATATCCAAAGCCATCACGATACAGACGACAAACATATCCATAAATCGGTGCCAAATGAAAAGGCCGCGGAAATACCATCATCGTTAACAATCAAAGGGCCCTCAGCTCCTATTAATGCATGCATTTGCCTGTATTCCGTTCCTCTATACTCTTAATATTGCCAATCATCACAGACGTGATTCAAATCGCCAGCCAATCTCCAGGCTTCTATTCAAAAAAAAAAAAAGAGCCGCTGCCAGCCTCATCATAAAACAGCCTTGGTCAAATTATATGTCGCCCGTAAAACGCCATGCTCCTCTTTCTTCTCAAATAGTGAACCAACCTTTCAAATCCTGTCATCGCTAACCATGAACGCCTTGCACGCGGCATAAATACCACTTTCCTCTTTCTTTTCACACCTCATATCATAGCAATAGACTCGAACCAAGACCAAGAGCCGCAACAAGGAGCAACAGGCTGGGCTTGATTGCTCCCGATGCGCTGACTTGAGTTCTCGGCTCTCCTGGGTAATTGCAAGTAACTGCTCCGCCGTTACGGTCTCGTACCCCGTAGCTCACGTTGAATCCAAGCTTGCCAGCCTCGGGGCACCCAAAGCCAATCGCCGCTGGACATCCCTGGACGACCCCATAGCAGAGATCCGCGCAAGGCAAGATTTCCTTGTAGGGACCCGGTGCGATCACCTCGTCTATGAAGGTGGTTCGGGATGTGTTGAAAGCCGGCGTCTTCATAAGCTCTTGTCTTAGCGCATCCGGCAGGAAAGTGCCATTGGGGAAGGACTGGGCGACGTTTCGAGGAATGGTGTAGTTGTTCTGCTTTGAGAAATCCTCACAACGGGGGATAGCCACGGCGCAGAGCCATTGTTTGTAAGCCACCGTGCAGTTGTTGCAGTTGACCGCTAATGAATATCGCTGCGTCGACGGCGCTTCGCAAGGAATTTGCATCATGACCTTTTGAAAGTTGGCATACATCTGCTTGGCATACGCGTCGTAGAGATTTCCCAGCTCCGTGTTGTTAAACTTGTTGTTGCCAGGAGCCGCCCACTGCACGTCGTCGCAAAAGTCCAGGTCGGTGATGAGATTGCAGTTTGTCCCTTTTCAATTTTGTTAGCACAAGGCTCAATTGCACCCATTTCCATCTCCCAGAATGCGAAAAAGTAAAGTCATACCTGCTGAGGTCTGGAAGTCGGTGGGTGGAAAGACGGTGCCTCCGCCCCCAATTACCCCTGTGCTTTGCCTCTTGGAGTTGGCTGTTGTATTCACAAGCTTGACCAAGATTCCGTTATATGACGAACTGGAGTTGAGCCCTTCAAAGTAGTACTGCTGCCTGGGCCAGCCACCCGGGCCCTTGTCGGTCATCTTGGTTCGGACCAATTCATTGTTATTCATTTGTCCATTATCCAGTCTTTTCGAAGCAATCTGAGCAACATTATTCATTCCGCAAATTGATCGCGTGAGTCCGTCTAGAATGGGCGCCTTGGTGCCCTGGACATAAAGTTCGTACTGCGGACCGGCGTTCATGATGGACTCAATCTGGCTTGTATTGCTCGTCAAAGCCGCTGTCTGGAGCAGGGCAGATTTGGCGTCACTGTCCATCCATAACAGTTGGCCATCCTTTGAGTTGTATTGGTAATAATAGGCATCAATGGATGCCGCAATCTCAAAATTGTATATGCCTTGGAAGTCTTTGGTGACATTCGGGGCCGAGACGGTGACGTATACCTCTCCTGTTGCATTTAAGCTGTACATGACTGCTCCTTCTACAAATGCCTTGGACTGAACTCCGGCCGCAGGTTTCGTCACGTCGGGGCATCCATCTTTGCTGGAGGTAGAGACGAAGAAACGAAGCTGCGGGGGTGTCGATGCTGCGTCCGAAGATGTGCTGTGTGGTTGAAGGCAGGTGTTTGCAGACAGGTAGAGAGTTCTTGTAGGACCACTGCCTTGGTCGTCATTTGGTGTATTATTATTATCATCATCATCAGCACGCCTATCCAAGTCTTGATCATCCCTTTTCAGCTCTTGTTTGGAGTTGGAAGAGTCCGAGGTTCCACTGCCGCTGAAGATGACGCTCTTCGGCACCACATAACAGGCAGAGGCGCCAGGCTCAAGATTCAATGGGATCGGGATGTTGTTCTGTAGAGGGGTCGAATCGACGGGGGCTCGACCAACTATTCCGCGATCAAACAAGGCAAAGTCGGGTTCGTAAAAGGAATGCGATTCAGCATCCAGCCGCAGAGGCCCTGCCGGAGTCGTCAAGTCGGACAGAGGAGGTGCTACAAGCTCCAGAGCGAGCGCCGCGGTGGGTGCGAAGAGAAAGATGTAGAGCATCAAAACAACCAGCAGCCCCGCGAGAGAGGCCGCAAGTCGCGATTGCAATGGGGTCAGTAGCATCACAGGCGCATGCCGAGCGGGCTTCCGTGATGTTGGTTGTCGCTTGCGAGAAGGGCGTCTAGTAATGCGGCATGTTCTTTTTTTCTAATTGTGATACGTCGATCGCCAGGAGACATGTGATATCATGGTGGATCTCTGCAATGTTTCAAGAAGAGAAAAAGAAGAGAAAGAAGAAAGAAAGAAAAGAACAAGAAAAGAAAGAAAGAACCTCCTTCTCCAGCCGTCGGCTGGCGTTGTCGGCTTCGCTTCCGCTCAATGGTTTGTCAGATAGTCGTTTCACGATAATACGGAGTACCAGATGCCGGTTATCAGGCGGGTGGCAGTTATCGAAGTGCAAGGGGGGGCGCATTCAGGGAGAGGCGCAGCTCATCCGCACAGCCACGTAATCCGCAATCCAGCAGCCGGTACCTCGTATCCCTGACATTTCTGCACCGTCGAGACAGAGAGAGAGACAGAGGGCACACCGAATGCGCATGCGCACACGCAAAAGACCAAAAAAATGAGTGTTATTCTTCACTTTAAAGTGCTAAAAAGTAAATAAACCAATGGCTTTCAGTAAACAAATACACAATGCGGTAGCGTCCTGGGCGGTCAACTGGTGGCGTCATTGGCTGGGCCGGAGAGCTCATGCTCCTACAATTCAGCTTTAACTGAACTCCTGCTCGCCGCAAAGCACCAGAATCTTCCCATTGTCACATGTGCATTCCCTCTTCAAACCGATACTTGATTGCGCCCTACAGCCTCCAAGTCATGACACCTTCTAAAACAAAACATGCGTTATCGAAATTCTGGTTCCCATGCTCTTGGTTCCTCAGATAGCCCTAATCCTCCTCCGGAAATCCAACATGTGCCGGCGATTCCGTGATACCCCATTTTATTCCCAATAATCGGTTGTTTCAATCTGGCCTGTCCTCCATCTTCGGGGTCTACAGCACCTGGTCCGGGACTTGGCGAGCAAGTGGTTGATCTTTGCGACCAAGTAGAAGTAGTTGCTCATGCTAGCATGATTTACTGAGTCTTGTCAAAGGCATCAGTCTTGGAGCGGAGACCGGCGGAAGTGCCAGGGCCCTGGAAGTATCGGCCGAGGGTAGGGGCAAGGAAAGATCGGAAAACGACCTCAGCGCCGCTACAGGGGAAAAAATTAGATTTTGCTACTCGTAGAAGCTTTCTAGAAGAGAAACTTACCGGAAAGTGGGCAGAGCCAGCCACAGCAGGAAGATGAACTTGAAGACAAAGTAGAAGGGGAACCAGTAAACAATGCTGAAGAAGCCCTCGACGACGGTGAAGAAGGCGAAAACAACCCAGTACTAAAAATAGAATTAGTCGCCGTGGTTCTTTGATCCGTGTAGGCGCAATGTGCAGGGGCAATCAGAAGTAACTCACCGTCAGCCACTGGGTGTCATCTTCTTTGGACTGGGAGAACAAAGCGCCCAGAGAGTAGTAGCCAGGGAGAACAAAGCCGGCAAAGTTTGTGAGGAGCTGGCCACCAATGTTGAAGATGATGAGGAAGAAGTAGAGAGCAGCAACACCGATGACGGCATAGGCCTTGGGGACACCAATCTGCTTCTCGAGGTTGTTAAGGGCGGGGTATTTGGAGAGCTGTACATTTGACAAAGTCAGCACGCAGAGCTCGATTGAAGGCATAGCAGAGGCCGAGGCGGCGCAGCAGACAAACCTCCTTATCAATGACGCTCAGATAATCCTGAGCCTTTGCCTGGGCAGACGCCATTTTGCTTTAGGGTGAAGCTTGATGCTCAAATTTGCGCAGCTGTCGACGTGGTGATTCTTGCGACGACAGCAAAAGGTCCCCGCAAATAAAAAAATAAGAAATAAATAAGCACAAGGAGTAGATGGATAAGTAATGGTAGCGCTAGGGGAGATGCTTCGTGATAACAGAGGAGAGCAAGAGGAGGAGAAAAGTTACAAGATAAGGGCGGATGCAGGAATGGGAGTGATGATGGTATTAAGAGGTTGATCGAGCCCGGATTTCAGGAAGCTTTGATAAATAGCGTCAGCGGCTTGGGGCTTGTGGAAGTAACAGGTTGCACTTGGCAAGGGAATGGACGGGCTACGTGTGCTGAGTCGATCTGCTCCGTGCGGAAACTGGGGCCATGCTGGTGTTAGGGCCAAGGTTTCGGCATCCGGCAAGGTACCTGCTCAGCCCACCAGGGCTTGGCCGGAGTGAGGGGTATCTGCCTTGGGCGAGATACACGGCGCCCTAGCATCTGGATGGAAAGGTCGGATATTCTGCGGTGCCGCTTCAGGTGTGGTGGAGGGGAAAACGCAGCAACCTGAAAAAGACGGCAATGGAAGACCAATGGAAGACGTCAAGACAAAGCAGATAACGCAGCGAGATGGAGCCCAGCGGAGCATTTCCTGAGTGTGCCTAGC